ACCAAGGTCTCGCTGCACTACCGAGGTCACCGAGACAAAAAAGAAAGGGGTTGTATTTGTCCACGGTCTAGTGGAAGATTCATTCGCATTTTGCACATTTGCTGAGGAGTGGAGCAAGGGCCCAAGTAGGGGAAAGGAACCAAACTCGACCCAGAACATGGAAAGGTACGTCGCTATTTTACTTTTACCGTTTTGCCAAGGCTCTGAGGACCCCAGCCGTGGTCCAGAGCTGAGCCTACTCGGCCTGGACCCGACCCCCTTGTGCAGGCAAAGTTGGTCTCGTTCACTCGAACATAACGCATATGCGTTGTAAACGAATGCACCGCACGGTATAACGCACATGCCTTATGTTTGGGGGAAGACGGTAGCAAATGACAGGTCTGCCACAACCTGACCATTTGATCATCCCAATGTATTGCTTAACCGGTCCCCTATGAGACACCCTCCCACCCTTACTCATCATCACGATCTCCGAGGCATCCTGACTCCCAAGGTCCTACCTGAGTATACCCAGGATCATCACCCATTCTAGTGATCTTTGACCGGACAACAGTTATAGGCATCAGGGCTAAGGAGGTTCTCACCTCCCTCCCCAGCCCTGATTGAAGCAATATCGAGCGAGCCACATCGTACCGGCACTGCGAGTGTTAGGGGTAAGCATGCCACAAGGCCCATAACAAGTCCTATAGGCGAACCTTAGTTTTTCCTGTTTTTCAGAGAGATCCTCGCCTTATCATCATCATATCCCTCTGGTTATTCTTTGAATTCTTGCGGTGGTTATTCGAACATAGAGCATCTCCAGTTTCCGTCCTCAGTAGGCTGACGGCCACCATCCGCTCCCCATACCTCTATCATGAATTGGATGTCTAGTCATTCTGTTAGCATCCCCAGACTGGCTCAGTGGTTAGGGCACCGGTCGTGAATATGCATTGTGGAATGAGGTTGCCGGTTCAAAACTTTGTGCATCTGCGCGGTGACAGTTGCATGCCCACTTGGGCTAATACATGTAAGCTATTACAGACACTGCATGAGCACCACCCAAGGGTAAGTCCATGGGTGTTGTATGCCGGTTTGGGTTTCAGGTTGGTCGCTTGCTGCTGTTGATTTTGATTGTTCTGATGATCTCCCCCAGCCAAGACATCTCACACATCACGTTCACTTCCAACAGCAGTGCATGTGGTAGAATCCTTCAGTTACGTGCTGCAACTATGGCGGTTGGGGGGAAGGACAAAGGGTTGTGCTGATATCAGCGGGCTGAGAGAAAGGTGGGGATGTGCCATCATTGGTGGGACAAGGGGTAGGGGGAACTTTGACTCTGCAATAGTACACCTTAGGGGGAATGGGGTGCTATTTCGGGGTTACAAGGTGACCGAAGGAGAGCTGTTCTGAACTGGGGCTGATGGGAGATGGTGGGTCCTCGTAGCGGGGGCAGGGGGGAACAGAGGGCTGAATTGTGGTTTAAGGTATTCCTGGTGGGTTTTCATACAGAAGGAGAGTATCCCCTTTTTTTTTCTTGGCTTTTTAAAGGTGAAATGAGCCAGCTCGAGTGACTAAGTGGAAATCTGCCTATGATTAGGGAGACATTCTGTTAGCATCCCCAGACTGGCTCAGTGGTTAGGGCACCGGTCGTGAATGTGCATTGTGGAATGAGATTGCGGGTTCAAAACCATGTGCCTCTGCGAGGTGACAGTTGCATGCCCACTTGGGCTAATACAGGTAAGCTATTACAGAAACTGCATGAGCACCACCCAAGGGTATGTCCATGGGTGCTGTATGCCGGTTTGGGTTTCACGTTGGTCGCTTGCTGCTGTTGATTTTGATTGTTCTGATGATCTCCCCCAGCCTAGACATCTCACACATTATGTTCACTTCCAACAGTAGTGCATGTGGTAGAATCCTCCAGTTATGTGCTGCAGCTATGGCGGTTGGGGGGAAGGACAAAAGGTTGTGCTGATATCAGCAGGCTGAGAGAAAGTTGGGGCTGTGCCATCGTTGGTGGGACAAGGGGTGGGGGAAACTTTGGCTCTGCAATAGTACACCTTAGGGGGGATGGGGTGCTATTTAGGGGTTACGAGGTGATCGAAGGAGAGCTGTTCTGAACTAGGGCTGATGGAAGATGGTGGGTCCTTGTAGCGGGGGCAAGGGGGAACAGAGGGCTGAATTGTGGGTTAAGGTATTCCTGGTGGGTTTTCATACAGAAGGAGAGTATCCCCTTTTCCTTGGCTTTTTTGAAGTGAAATGGGCCAGCTGA